ATGCCTCTCATCACAAGTGAAAGTGAATCAGTTTGGAGGTAGTGGAAAAGACAACTCTTTAAACCCAAGTAGCAGGAATTCTGCCTGTAAGCAAACACTCTGAAACAATCCAAAAGGAAGATTTCTGTTCCACTGCATTTTTATATCTCTTTCCCTGGCATATGTTTGGGGTTAGCAGCTGGTCTTTTACAATAAATTAAACTGAGACGAAAGCAAATAGAACAAGATATGAATCACCTGTGCGGAGAGTTCACTGAAATCACGCCCTTCATCTGCTATGCATTATCCTCACTTTGATGGGACAACTGTTAGCTAAAAGCCAAAAACAAGCAAGTCACACAATAACAATGTTTTTACTTTGGGCTGAGCCATCAGTTCTTTCTAATTTTAGTGAGCTAGCACCGCCCTTATGTGGTAGGTAATCGTGCCGATTGCCACAACAGTAACAGCATCTGTCATGCCACCAGCAAGAGACATCTGAGGTATTATGGTTTTGTTGTGCTCTTAGGGATAATAATTAACCACTGATGGAAAGGAAACCACCACAGTAAAGAATGATGCCGCTGTAGAACAATTTGAACAAGTTCTCATGACTTGCTAAAGAGAATCCAGAACTAAGGTGTCCTCCTCTTGGATCAGCATCCTTGCACTAGCACTGCACTTTCCCCCACCATATCAAAGCAGGCAGCATGAATCTGGAAGGTGATTAGTTTTTCACTTGTGAACATTTCCACAGTAGCTCCAGAGTGCCAAGAACCTATTACATGACCTTAGCTATCAGGTGGCATATTGGAGAAACAAAACAGCCTGCTGGATTTTCCAACAGCAGCCAGTACTGTGAGTCATGCGGAAGAGCTGTGCTTTGGACAAAAGCTGCCTATTAGCCTTGCATGCTCATGAGGGATTCTGAGCAGCATCCTGCACCCAGCATGCACCTGGCACATTTGCATAATTTGCAGTATTAGAGTAGAAAGAGGATTATGAAAACAATGACTGAGGCAATATTCAGCTCCAAATGGATGTGCTGCTACTACCCTACCATAGCAGGCTGCTGACAGAATGAGCTTTAGATAGATTTGTTACATCTTTCGCCTTGGTGTCCCTTCATTCTTCTCTTAACCTATGACTCCATTAGTGACTGTCCCAGTGTCTCTTTCCTCCTGCTTTTCACCATGATCTACTCAGCCACTGCAGCACTCTCTCCCTCTCTCCCACTCATGATGATGCCTCTCGTCATGCCAGTATCTCTGCTTCAGCCACAACAAACCATGATCAACTATACCAGGATCCTCCTTTTGACAGTAAGTGCTGACACATATTTGAAAAGACAATAAGAATTAGTCTCTTTTTCCTCCATTAGTGGAGCCATCTCACTTCTTCTGCCCCTCACCTTGCTGTCAGTCAGCCATTGCTCTCTTGCCTGTTCATGTGAGGATACAAAAAATAAGGTTTGAGAGGAAAAGGAGCAAAGCTTTACAAGAGCTCACCATCTGGGCAGTACTTGGTATAGAGCTGTCACTCAGTGCCAAATTCACATGCCAAGTCAGATCTATCATTACAGAGATGCCTGTGCACATGGACCGTATTCTCAGCTGAAGCAGGATAAATCTCAAAGAATTAATCTCTGTTTTCATACATTTTCGTCTCAGGTAATGCTGTAGAAGAAGTGTTCCTGATCTAGCATTTCAAGATGCTATTGCTGCATCTCAAACAGCAAAACAAACTGTAGTTTACTCTTGTAAACCAAGAGTAATGAGGTGCTGCTCCTCCTAAGGATGCTGCAAAGGACAGAAAGAATCTTTCCCTGTAACCCTTAAACAATCTCAATTTTGCTGCAGTAAATTGCTATCTCCCTTCCCTAATCAACCCCCCAGAGTGGAAGTGCACTTGGTCACCTCTGTGTTTCAGAGTCTAGGAAAAGAGAATGCCTGTTGTGTTGGCACAGGAAGGAGGTGCAGGCAGCCACGCACAAACTTGCTGACCTGGCACAGCATTCAGCTGCAACACACAACTGCTTTCCCAGGCAACTCATTGTTAGCATTTAATTGTGAACGCTGTAGAAAAGGCCAAGGGATTAGGATGGAGGTTGTGGGAAGCAAAGCATGATCTGGAATGCTGTTCTGCAGTCTAGAGAACAGTTGGGTAAAGACAGCAGAAGCTGACTGGGTAAATGGGGAAGGCTGTAACTAGCACCATGCAATATCCTGTCTCCAAGCACAAGTAAGACTGGATCGCCACAGAAATCAATTTTCATACCTACTCTCACAGCCACTATAAAAAGTATATAAATCACATCAGTAATAAATCATGTAAGGATTGCATGATTGGATTCAGGGGTGGAAGGAGCAAAGGGAAAATTCATCTTGTCCATCACAGTCCTCTTCCTTTCATCTCTGAGGGACCCTTAAGTCCCTTCTAATACCCGCTTCCTATCAGGAGCTGTAACTTACTATGTCACCCAGCTGAAACCCTGCTTGGGACACTAAAAAGTAAAAATATATGCTTCTCAACAGAACTCTCTGGATTATCTAGTAGATTTTTAGAAATTAACAATAATAATGCTAAAACATCCAGCAGCCTAATTATCAGGCACTTCTCATTTATATTCCCATTAAATTCACAGCTGCTTTGCAAAGAGACAGGCTGCTGTATGAAGACTGCCTTGTATGCTCTCACCCAAGCCGCTTCCATTTATTCCATTGAGAATGATGACACAAATAACTCAAATGCCTCCTTGGTACTTGGCAGGTGCCATTGGTGCATGACACACTACTTGAAAAGCAAACAGCAGGAACGACATGATCTTCTAAAGTGAAAAAACAGGGCATTTTATTCCTCTCATGGTAATAAAACTGTTAATTTTCAAGTATCCACTGATCTTTTCACCATCCAAAGGAATTTTGCTGTGAGCTAAATCTGCCAGCTTACCTGTCCTGTAAAGAACCATAGCTGAGAAGTGGGGAGCTGTGAACACTGCAACTGCTGTTGAGGGGTGGGGGGGAAGAACTGACAAGCAAGGTGTCTGTGTGGCTGGCACACTGCAGATAGGACCCCGAGGTGTCACAGTGCCATGTTCCAAAACTCACCCAGCTGGGTTCTTTGGCATGAACACCACAAAAAGAAGAAAGAACCTGCAATTGCATTTTCTTGACTTCAAAACATACTAAATTGATTGAATATGTGTCAGCTTCATGCAGTGAGAAATTTCAGCATCTCTAAAATGTATTTGCAGGTGTATTTCTAATTTGCAAGGACAGTCTCATGCCAAGTACTATGTGGGTACTTACCTGATGACACAAATCTATGGCAAGAACAAGTCTGCATCATCTCAGATAAGAAATGAAGTAGTTTTGCTAGACAGAACTAGGCTGATTTCAGGCAAGATGTTATAAGGAAACACAGAGATGTGTATTATACCTGTGAATTACATAGAGCCTTGGTTCCAGTGCTTTAGCCCTGGAACTATTCGTTGCCTGTAAGGTGGTCTGTCAAAACAAATGCAGTTTTTACACACAAATTCCCTCCCACTGAGATGCAGGCTGGGATTCTCCCTTCTGTTTCACATTTAGCAAAAGACTCTCATTGTAAAATTTTACCTACTGCATATTCCAGCTGGAATAATCCAGATGACCTAAGGACAAATAGTCTAAATAATGAACAGACACCCTGAGATGATTTGTTTTTCTGAATGAACTAATCACACCCTGCCCAATAACTTGATTGAGTGTCTCCAACAAAAGTGAGAAGCACGACTGACAAGCACAACTAAGACGTTTTCAAGTAATTACATTTTCACAGCAAGCAATTTTATCACCATATAAAATGAAGTTGTTTCTATCCACTCACACTACCCATAACAAAAAAAAACAAAAAAAAAAACCAGGAAAAATACAGAACATGTGAAATACTGTTTTTTAGAGCAGCCCTCAAAGGTCAAACACAGCCTTCGTATTTAGCTAATGTTTGTCTAATTCCTGATTTCAGCAAGAAAATGGGTTATTTGGGATATATTTGGTTTAAAGTTTCTCTTAAACAGACTTTTCAAAGCCCGCCATGTGATAGTGAACAAAACATATATCTAAAACACTGAAAATGCTCAATTTCTGAAAACACTGATTGTATTCAAAGAAGAAAAGTTTGTCATGAAAGAATGAGTATGGAAAAATGATGCTGGACTCCAGCAGAATACAAAATAATACAGAAAACCTGTTTGGCAGTATCAATTGACATGAGAGGTAACAACAATGCCATGCTTTAGAGTTTTAAGAGTTGTAAAAAAAGCATCCTTATGACGATTAGGGCAGCCACACCGACAGCAATACTCCCGGTACATTTATCTGGACCAGAGGTATGGTGCTACATATTGTGCACAAAGATCTTGAGGCAGGTGCAGTTTATAAACAACAAAACAACCCCAAAATGCAAGATGCAGGCTTCAATAACAAATTGCAGTAAATGCTACAATTGAGCCAAAATGAGAAAGAAAATTTGCACTTATTATTTGAGGGGTTGACTTAGCCAAAAGGTCAAAGAAACCACGATGAAATACGGGAAAGTATAATAAGCCAAACAGCTTTGCAGGGATTTGTGATAGGACCTGCGTGCCTTCGTTCCTGTTTTAGAATAAATCTGATGTGCAGTTTGGATTCAGCCTAGAATTTTGCACGGATTTTTTTGTGAGGTAACCAAACAATGAATAATTTACTTATTTTAACTTCTGTTTCCAAGTCCATCAAAAAACCCTGTGAGTTTCACAGTCTCTTCTAACTAACCTCAGCCAACATACACAGGTTGGTGATGTTATAAACTTGATGAATTATATCTGGTTTCATCACCATGTAGCTCATAAACCACAAAGCAGACCAAAAGCAAGTTTTCCCAAAATAATTTGGAGTCAGGTTCCAGAGCTTCAAGACTTTGAACTTGGAAATCAGGAGCCAAACACATGTGAATTTAAGACAGTGTGTTTACTATCAATGATGTTTCCTCTCTTGTATGGCTATAAATATTTGGGCGGCTTATTTTTGAAGGGGTAAGGAACAGGCAATGAAATTAGGTTCAATGATTCTGTTTGCTACAAGAAGACAAGATATTTTTATTTACAGGCTTATAGCTGAGTGCTCTGGGAGCTCTCCTGATAAATGCTTCACCAGCTGAGTCACAGTGTGCACAGGATTAGTCACGGCTGAGGAAGAGTCCCAAGGTTTCATTTACAGCCGCAGATTTACCTGATGTATATTAACTTCTCCTGTGAGCAGCAGCTCTCTGAAGATATGTGCTTCAGAAGCCTTGGCTCCGTCATCGCCTCCACGTCACCACACCCTCGAAGACGAGGGCCAGAGTGCCAGCACGCACAGAGGAAGGCGATGTCTGCTGGCCGTGTAGAGAAGAGGAACAGAGGGCTCCCAGCCCGTACATCAACATATGTTCTGTGGGCCTCAGCAGAGCAGAGCATGCGTCACGCTCACTTGACGCTATTTTAGGCGACAATGGGTAAACTAAATGACTTAGCTGAGCGACCCAGCACACCCCTTTCATTATGTGCTCTGGCAGAGAAGCCTGAGCAACCGGCAGTGCTTCTATGCCTGTGAGCTTCTACCCATGGTGTTCCCACTCTGCACATGGGGAGCAAGGACAAGAGGTAAATAACATTGCCTAGGGTTTAATTGCAAATCTCTGGCAGAATTAACCCCTATCAATACCTCAGGCATCTAGGTTTCAAGTCACCCTCTCCATGTAATCCCTACAAATCCTCTGCCTGAAAGATCTGATTTAGCAAAGCCTGGCACTTCCATGAGAGCTGGAAATAACTGCCTTCTTTGGATCACCAAACAAATAAGAGGTATCTTTGTTACCTTTCCTCACAAGCTTGAGCAGACTCTGAACATGCATGCATGCACAAGTTGGCTGCATGTCCTCTGTTTGAGAGGCTCACATGAAGCAAAAGGAATCAAACCTGCCCACTTGAGCAACTGTATGAAACCAGAAATGCAGGATTCCTAGATGGCTAAAGAGTGTAACCAACCTTTGAACCCTAAGATAGTTGTGTTTCTGCACCTTACCTCCAGTTTTTACACATATGTTGAATTTAGATAGGGAGAGCCCTTGCACTGGCACCCACATCCTCATACTACCTGTGTGATGCTGCTTTCCAAACTGGTTGTTCACATTCTGCCCAGAGGATCTGTACATCTTGGTGCATCTCAGAGACTTGTCCCCAGCCAAGTGAACGACAGATATACTTGAAGTTTCTTCAAGTGAAAGTCTATCTTAATGAAAAAACATTGGAAAAAAAAGAAAATTGTAAAGTAAAAATTATTAAAACTGCACTTAGGCTATTTTATTACAGAATTAGCGCCTAAATAAACTTATGATCACTGTTAAGTACATTTTTACACAAAAGCAAACCACAGCAAAACTGCTCCATGCTGGCTTGCATTGTTGATAGCTTTGAAGACAACTATAGAGGTCAATTTGTCTAATGAAAATAAACAGCCCCATGAGACAGTTCTGTTTCTTTTGAGGTGAATATACATTTTATCTAGTTTAGCATGTCCATTGGGTATGTGCTAAACATTGGCTCAATTTTGCAATTTTTTTCCTGCAGTAGAACATAAATTGTTAACTCTCACCTGTAGGTTAAACCATGCCTAGTTTCCTTCCTTCTATTATTCTCTATTCTCCTTCCTCTCTTCCTGTTTCTGTGCTAAGGATACTGACATCTACTTATGACAAAATTTTCCTCCTTGCTCTCAACAATTTCTCCAATAAGCAAATTGCAGCTTTTCAAAAATTTCTCAAATCAACGCATTTTTGTAGAAGCTGCTTTGAGCCTTGACAGAGAATTCTTTAATACCATGTAAATGTAAATACATTGTCTGAAAGCTTGACGAGTTCTGAAAAAGAAGTGAATCAATCTATACTAAACGCTCTGTACTGAAATTACCTGTATTATTAATACAACCGATGACAGGACTAGTCCACAGTGATTTCAAGTTTCAAAACCAATACTGTCTCCCTTCTCAGATCTATACAGATGCCCCAAAACAGATTCTTCCCCAAAGGAAGATTATTTCCCAAGTGGTTTCACTGGAAAAAAAAAGGTATTACTATAGCTGATCTAATACCACAGCCACTTTATACCACAGTTCCTGACAAGATCTCCCTCCAGGTTAGCCTTAAAATTATATCACAGCCTAATTTTGTCTTGTTTTACATTAGTCTGAAACCATGCCTAGATTTTATTGAACTTTGATTCTGTTACTGGTTTTACATATTATCCAGATTAAACTTTTAATATGGTCTAATGGTTTGAAAAGCATCATCATCTACTGGTAGGGGGGTTTTAGTGCAATGGGAAATGGAATTAGGAGAGATACACTGATTTAATTGAAGATGCCACTAAAAGCTTTGCCAACTGCAAATATCTTGCCCTTCTGACTTGAGCAGTGATCCTGGGAGGAGAGTGTGGAGCAAACTGTGGTCCATGTACCCAGCAACTCTGTTGTAGAGCAGTCTCTGATACAGAACAGACCTGCTGAGGTACATCACATCTAAGGGTGCGTTTACTGCCTTTAGACCACTAACATCAGTATGATTTTAGGATATGCAATAATTTGATATGGTAATCATGCTGTGTTGTGCCTGACAAAGGAAACACCTTCTCCACTGCTGCAATGTATATTCAAATTACCCAAGTAACTATAAAAGGAGAAATGTACTATGAAAACTCATCTAGATATATGCTAACAGTATTTCCTATGGACACCATTCTGATTTACCAAACAGCTACCGTCTTCTCTCTATTACAATAAAAGGGAGGTGGAGACCCCAAATAAATGTCCTAAATCTAGGAATACTGATACCAGGAGTGTTAGTGAAATAAGTTTGCTTGGAAATATCTCAGAGAGTGAAAAAGGCAGAAGAAAAAAAATCCCTGTTAGAGTTTTGCACCATGTTGTCTCTCTGTATCTTAAGATACCAGAGTCATGACTCACTCTGGAGATTTGAATTGCTCCCTGGGCGACATGACCTTCTCATACCAGCTTTGTTCTTCATGCTAGCAAAAATTGGTCATCCACGAATACTGAATGAAGAAACTTCCTTATTAGTCATCTCTGGATCTATAAAACTAATACTGGAAAATGGTGTTTAAACAAGCCCACTGCTGCTTCAGGTACGTGGCCTCCCAACATTTCAAATCTAAAAAGTTTCATCAGGTGTGGGAGGATGGATAGAAATGGGAAAAAAAGTTAGATACATAAGTCATCTGCCTCTAGATAAATCTATGGATCAGCACTCCTTTCAGCAGTTTGGATCTATATTTAAGTTTTCATGTTTATATGCCTGACTGGCAAATCCCTTGGCAATTTTGAAACCAATGCTTAAAAAAACCCCAAACTTTAAAACCCACCAAGCCTTCAAACAGAAGGCTGAGCTCTCAGTTGCAGTTTAGCTGGTTAGCTGTCCATCCTTATATATGCTGTAAAACACTGTGATTTCTCATGCTCAAGTAAAAGCTACAGATCAAATTATGCTTCTGAACATAGGAGGAACAGGTATTTGCATATGGTCTTGCCTGCACCCCTCCTGAAATAGTTCAGTACATTCCTGACTTCAGTGCATGAAACTAAAAACTCAGAGCAAAGCACATGCATCTCAATAATTCATGTTACAGGCACATTGCCTCATTCAAAAGATGGTGCAGTAGTATCAAGTCATGCCCATTATAATGGTCACTGACAAAAAATGTCACCTTGTTCCCATGGGCATTGGTTGCTTTTTTGTTTAAGTTCTCTCTGCTGGTAACAGTACAGGCTCAAATTCCATTGAACTATATGAACTATTGTACCCTCTCACCAAATTATGTGGCTAGGATTGACCAAGATGAGGACAAATATCCCCACAATTGCAGAGGACCTAATCAGAATCCATCATCTATCCCTGAGTCAATAAAGTTCTTAGCTGAGTGCTAAATGTTCCTGCAGATCTAAAACTTTGGAAAGACTTCAGATCTATAACTACACTGGAGAACTGAAAGCAAACACAAGCAATCAAAATTGTCATAGAAATCCTCATTCCAGCATATGAAACAGCACGAAATATTAACTACACCTTTTCCTCTTTGCAATTAAAAGATGTAGATAGCACTGCATTTAGACAGTGCAAGATGAGACTTAAAAGAAAAATTAAAAAAAAAAAAAATCCAACCAAACCCCTCCCATAGATTTTTAGCCAATAGACAATAAGTAAAAATTATTCCAGCATCCAAACATAGTGTTGACATCTCTGTGTGAACAAAAATTCAAATCTTGTTATATCTCTAAATTGCCTGTATTTTACTAGATCCTTGGCAACCTGTTATCCTGGTTTCCCATTAAGATGGATACCACAGTATGTTTTTATTAAGTTTAGCATTTAAAGAAATATCCACCAGTGGCTCCATTGTTTTTTCTTTCAGATGACATGTAAGTAGGAACATTGATAAAAATAGTTCTAAATGCTCATCTGATATACTCTTCTTTTATTAGGAACCTCTGCAAAGTGCCATTTGTTGGCCAAGGATCCAATCTGACTTCATCTGTAGACGGCTATAATGACATGCAAGACAATTTCTGTAAGACATTTCAGTTTCATTTTCAGAGGAAACATCTTTAGAAGGATTTCCAGTTTCTCTAAGTGTTGGATCAGCTGTAGGATGTAAGACAACACTTTCTGATTACCAAACACTCTGATTACCAGGAAGAGGATGCTAAACCACATGAAAGCAGTCTTGCTGCTCAAGTAGTGACTAACATGATGTAGAAGGAATGTTTAACAAGTTTGTTCATGCAACAGGATGGGTGAATGCCATCTCTCACCACTACATGCACACTTCAGAAATTCTCTCACTTCAGGAAAATGTGTCTGAAAGTCTGTCAGTAGAATGAAGGATGGAAAAGTTTGGAATAGTGATGCACATATTTTACATTTTATGTAAATTGTACATGTTGTTTATATTGGTAAAGGAAACACATCAATGTGTGTGACTTCTACAGCTACTATGGCATAGTTAACCTTTTTAAAGGTTCATGTACACTACAGTTAGCAAAAATAAACTTATCAAAGTTCAGAAATAAAAATGTTAACTGCTGGTAACTTCTAGGTTCACAGGATGGAAGTAAAATGTGGCATGATGAAGTCAGACTACAATAGTCTTTGATACTGCCCTGATGCCTGTTAATCACAATCTGCTTCTGCATCAGTAGAACTCACTATTTGCCATGGACTCCCTGAATTCTATTTTAGAAAGAGAATTCCTCATTTTCTCACTGGATTTCATTTGATATTCATCAGTACTATGTGGCAGCATTTTTACAGTGTTCATTTCTACAACATAAGATATCTCTATTACCACTTGTTTTAAAGGAGGGCAAAGAAACAAGAGGTATTGAGGTCTAAAGGTGTCCATGTGACTAATTAAAATTTTTATGTTGTTAACTTCAGAAGAGGCAGAAACTCATCAAAACGCTCTTTATAAATAAGTAACACTGTTTCAAATCCCTTCCTATTTTTGACTGTCCCCAAAACTACTCATATTGCCTAAGTAACACTGATCAGGAGTGGTAGCTCTTTCAAGCCAAGATGCTATGAACTTTTAAAACCTAGGAATGTATGACAGCTCATAAAAGCAATATAACCATGCCCATATGGTAGCAAGGTTACCTCCAGATGAATCAGAGCTTTTGTGGTCAGTTCTCGACTACAAGTCCCATGGGGCAATTAGCTCTAAGTTTACACTCTCAGCTTTTATTCCATACACAGATCTACATCACTCACAATATGTAGATACTCCTACACAGGAGAATAACCAAATTCTTTACAGGGCTATTCAGTAGCCCTCTTGCAAGGCTCTCTTCTTCTTCTTCTTCTTCTTCTTCTTCTTTCAGCTCACTTTCATTTAAAATTCAGCAAACAGCAGCGCAGGACCCACAAACAACTGCCTATTTTTAACTGTAAATTCTTGGTTACTGTAAATCCTGTGTCCTGAACAGTGCTCAGACCAGGCCTGTGCAGCTCTTGTGGGGGTGGACCACCAAAGATGGACTGCTGGCATGGAGCTGCAGCTGTGGGGCACAGCAGAGCAGCTAACCAGCACCCAGAGGCCACACAGCTCGTGGTGGGCGGCTCCTGACCAGCTGCCGCAAACCCCAGCCAGTGCACGGCACACAGCTGGCAGCAACCCTGTCCTGGGGAAAACACACAGAGTCATCACTGCTGTCAGCTGCGCCTCATATCCCCTTCCCTCTCCTTTCATGTGCTCATTACAAGCTGCCCTCTCCCCATGTATACAATACCCTCTTGTTTGTCTACCCTCACTATGCAGGACTTGGGTCTCCTCTCCCCCACAGCAGCCCCACAATCCATCACAGCAGTCCATCTTGTTCCTTACCTCCCAGGTCCCTCCCCACACACAAACCAAAATACCCCCACGCTGTTCCCATTATTAACCTCAAGTTCCTGCTTCCCAAACCTCCCACACTGCTGGCTTGCTGCTTCAGCTCCTCTTCTGATCCTCCCAGGCTCCTCTACCCTCTGCAATGGCCCTTTCTCCCTACTTTCCAGACTTCCCTTATCTTCTCAGCATTCTCGCCACTCAAACACCTTCTGGAGGTAAGGAGTCTCAGGAGCACAATTGCTGGCATCCCAAGAAGAACCAGCATGTGCAGCTGCCTTCTCCTGCAGTGCCCAGGCCTCCAGGGCTGACACTCGTGATGCAGATGGCAGAGCATCTCAGAGAAAAGACTTGGGATATTGCTCCCAGCCGAAGGCTCACACAAAGCTGCAAATTCCATCTGACTGTCTGTGTTGTGCAGGCCTGATCAAGACCCAGCAAACGGACCTTCTGCTTGTGCCAGTAAAGTAAAAGATCACACTGGCAGGCTGTCATTTCCCACGTAGGCTGGCATTCTCACAAGCTGTCAGTTGCAAGGGAATGGAAATCCAAGAGCCTCAAATTCCTCTGCAGTGGAATGACATCATAAAGGATCTAAGTTTTCAGTCCATTCTTCCTAATTCTGATATTTTCTCCTTATCCCCATGCTGCCTCAGCCTGCATCTTATTCTTCATCAAGTTCTGATTCACTTTTCCTCCTCAGTTTTAGTAACTGTGCCTTTTTCACCAGAGACATAATTTCTACAGTAATTCAGAGGACAGAACATGTCTGAACTCTCAGTTTCTTTGCTGAGCACCACAACTTGTACTGATTACCTCTGCTGTAAAGAGTCAAATCATCTTCAGGAATGCACACGCTAGCCGACTTCCCTTCCACACAAACTTCTGTGTAAGCAGGCATTGAAAAATCTGACTATTAGGACAAATTTCAGGAGAGTAAAACAGCAAAAAATGGAGACTTGCAACACACAGAACTTCCCTGAGAGATGTTTAGCCCATGCTTTAAAGCAAAGAGGCGCTTGAACCTCTCAATAGTGTGTGTATTTTAATCAAGTGCCTGGGCAAGCAGCATTTCTTTCTATAACTCAGTTTTATGAGAGCCAAACTACTGAACTGCTAAGTTCAGCCAGACTTAAACAGCCAGTGCAGAAAAGAATCCAAAATCAAGCTGTAGAAATAAATTTTGCAGAAGCAACAACAACAAAATGCCTCATAATGGTAAATATTGCATAATTGCATCTATGGACAAAGTTGACACCTCTGGTTATAATGACAAATGGTAACTCCCTCCCCCAAAATAAAGCAAATTTTGCTTAGAGGCACAGGACAGCTGAACAAAAAAATGCTGCACCTTCAGGAAAACAAAACACCCTGAAAATTGAAATATTAATACAATATTTTCTTATTACAAATTAATATACCAACAACTTTCAAGAGTGACACACTGGGCAATGTCTGCTATGCTGGCAGCCTACCAGAAAAGGATAAAAAGATCCAGTGTCTCCATTCTGGCCTAGACTTGGGTTGCAATTTCTTTCATGAGGACAGACCGGTTTCTTTGCAGAAGCCAATTTTTTGCTAGTGGCTAGGTCTCTGCTGAGTACAATAACACACCCATACAAAGCTGAAAAACAGTACATTAAATCATTTTGACATACTAACATCTTCACAGCATTGGTTGCTGCTCAGCAGTTGGATTTCTGATCCTCAAATGTTTCAGGATTTAACTTCTAGGAATGCAGATGTTGCAGATTTAAAATGTATTTATTCACCAAAGCACATCCATGTTTCAAAGGGCTGTATAGTCCAAGTTACCTTCAAAAACAACTACCTATATATGTTCCTATTATTTAGCCATAAAAATCACGCAGCAGACTGTAAAAAAAGGTGGAATTGTGGATCTGTAGCAGAGCTGTTTTCCCGAGTAGCCAGTTAAACACGGCTGGCGATGTAGACGTCTTGCGCAGCACCACTACCACCTCCTGGACAAGCCAAGCGTGGCTGCGGATCACTTTGCCTTAAAGGCAGGCAGCCACTTCCAAGGGATGCTCAGAGACCCCCGGTACTGCAAACCTCATCTTCCCACCCAGACGTGCCATTCCCGGCCACCACCCGGTCGCTCCCCGCTGCCACAGCACGGCCACAAAGGCTCCAGTTAGCCCAATTTTACCTCGGTGTTCCGCAAGTACAGTCAGGTCAGTCAGACAGCTTCCCACTAGGAATCGCAGCTGAAAGCCCCAATGCTAATGGCAACAGAGTTTGTCTTTGGTAAAGGCCAAATAAGTTGCCTTTTTTTCTGTTGCTAAGTTATATATATTGCTATAAGTAATGCTAATGTGCTACTATGTACATATCCATTCAAGCAACAAACATTTAATGAACTGTAAAACATATTTCTAAAAAAATGTAATCTGTAAGACAGCACAAAGATGTCCTCCTTACACTGCTTTTCCTCAATATAGTATAAAAGAGCTTCTCTAGTCAAACAGAGAAAAAAAGGTCACTATTTTTGGGTGAAGATAAATCCAGTTTTAAGGATGCAATTAATGAGAATTTTCAATTTGTAGGAATTAAAGATCAGTCATTTCAGGATCTGGCTGGTCTTCCTATATATAATATATATAGATTATAATGTCGGTGCCTCTTTTTATATGTCTGCAGACCCCATAAAACTCCATACTCTATTATAAATGACATGCTCGACTATATAACCATAAAATGACTTCAATATTAACTCTCATCAAACCTTTCATAGAAAAAAATGTTTCTTTACGCTTGCTCCTGTTGATGGAACCACAGAAGTGTTCTCCTCTTTTGCTGTTGCTACCTTTGGAGATAGCTGGACTGTGGATGTCTTCTCAGTCCCTCTCTGTCACTTTGATCCTACAGATACAGTATAGATTTCTTGTCCTGAAATGTGAAGTTGTAACTGATTGTACTAATGCCCATTCTAACTGATAGATGTTCACAAAGTCATTAGGATTGCTCTGTATTGAAAAATTTGTATGTGTTTTAACAGTTGCTGATCTGTCCACAAAGTTTTATCAGAAAATGTTTCCTTAGCTATTTCTTCTTTATTATTGCATAATAATGAAAATACCAAAAAGTTGCTGTTGCTATTTTTAGTGTTACACTTTGTCTCATCAACTGTCTCTGAACAGTGTCCAGTAATTTCTGTGTTTTCATTATCAAATCATACATCAAGGTACAGAAATGTGTTTCATTGCAGGTCAGGATATCCTCTGAGGACATACAGCAAGTGTCATAGAACACAGTGGATATATTTTCCTCATAATACATAAACAAAGCCAATGAGTGAAGTCAGCTTCCTCTGCAGCACTATGTGCCTGTGACCATGAGGGACAGGATGTTTGCAGGAGACACTGATACTCTTGTTAATATGAAGAAAATTTTGGGGCATCTGCTTAATTTGGCTGGCTCACAGCTAAATTAATCACTGGCTTTCCACCAGAAATATGTATTTCTTCCTGGGCCAGGCTGGAAGAAGCTACTGAGCTTTTCCCTTCAGTTTCCTCTCCTGTTGCAGGACGAATATTGAAATTTACTCTCCTCTAAATTGTTTGGCAGTAAGTTTTGCATGGTTCTGATGATCAAGTAAATAGCCAGAGGGTGTTGCTGTAGTTGGTACTGTCAGGGACAAAGACGTGAGTGAGCAAACCTGTGGGTCCAGGAAGGACCCCCGGTCCCCTCCAGGAGTGTGTGCTCCGACAGCACAAATCTGACACCGTACTCGAGCTAAGAGTCCCAGCACGGCTCAGCTGGGAAGGAATTTTGAAATCGCGGGCCGGATCCGCCCCGAGCCCCGTCCCGACCCCTCAGCCGCGGCCCCGCCCCCTCGCTGGGGTGTGGGCGGGGCGGCTCGCCACGTGACCCACGGGCCGCGTGACGCGGTCGCAGGNCGGTGTGCGGCACCCGGAGGGCACACACCGCAGTGCGCGGGGTTTGCTGGGGACCCGCATTCATTTTCTAAAGAGCCGGGGAGTTGCGAGGTTCGCTCAAGGCCCCGCTGCTCACACGCTGTAAGCTGTGCGTGTACCCTGTTTAAACCGCACGTGTTTAAGCCTTCTATTCTTCAGAAGTCTGCTGAGAGTAGCCGGAACTGCACAAAAATTAAATGAGCGGGTATCTGTAGTCAAATTACTGAACAAATACTCATCATTGAAACTTAATGAGCTGTGTTTCTAGCATGTTAGTAACACCTTTTTTTGTTGCTGTTGTTGTTCTGTCACCTCACTTGGACCACAAGGTGTGATTAAAAAGCAGCAAGGCTGTTGTTTTGATGTGGGGTTTGTATGTGTGTGTTCCTTGCAGATGTCAGAAGACCTTGCTAAGCAGTTGGCCAGCTACAAAGCTCAGCTCCAGCAAGTCGAGGCTGCCTTATCTGGCAATGCAGACAATGAGGATTTACTGAAACTGAAGAAAGACTTACAGGTGAGAGCTTGAGGGTAGGTGAAACGTCAGGGCCTCTTACAAGTGTTTTATCTTTCCTAAATTTTTGTCCTACAACAAAAATAGATACTTACTGGGTTAGTTACTTTCATTCCACATAGTTTGATATAGTCATGGTAGGCTTAGTTTGGAAAAACCTAAACTTGGTATAGCCTATTTTAATTTTTTTTTTTTTGATGGGTAAAAAAGATGTACTAAATTATACAGCTAACTCTTTTACTATAATCTTTGGCTGGAGAGGTGAAAGATATGCCAGTGCTGTCTTTACTGTGTGATGGGTTTTAATTTTTTTTCCCTGAAGCATTTCTCAAAATCATTATTTTTCTGTTGCTTTTACGATTGCTGAAGCCTGATGGTTTGGATTACCATGATGTTTTTATTGAGTTCTCAAATAACTTGATCCAGAACCTGCTTGCTCATTAAATGCGTTTGCAGTGTTAAAAGCTTTGGAGCATAGTTCTGTATTCCTTGTGCATCTGAGTCTGGATTGTGTTTCTATACAAGAAAGGAAAAGAGTTGTGTATTTCACTTGTCACAAGAGCATAGTGTATTCCTAACAGCTGAAACCCATTTCTGGTCCTTGGAATGTGGTTTAGTGATAGGAAGGCCACCAGCATAATTTTAAATGCATGAGTGGTCTTTTAGATTCTTATGCATATGAAGACACATTGGCATATAGCAAATCCCAGCAGTGCTGTTAAAATCTGTCCTGAGAGTGCAAGATGCTGCTTCATTTCTGTTGTGGATTGCTTTAGCCATCAGGTGTAAAAATATATAAAACTACCCAGTGCAAGGTTCAGTGACCACTGCTCTGTATGGAAATAACTGTTTTTGGGCTTCAAAACCAAAACACAAGTGGTGCCTCCAAACAGTGATCTTTAGATCCTTTTAAACTGCAAAGGCTTTGTGCCCACAAGGCACTTTATAGATCATCTGAATGTGCTCTGTTGTACACTGTTAAAAGCATGTGTATATTTTTATATTTTTAAAATGCACAGCAAAACCCATATGGGATGATATTTCCGATACCAACACGACCTCGGCTTTGATATGCAGAGATCATTGATGTGAAAGGACAACTTGCAAACTTTTTATTAAAAGCTTTCTGCACAGAATGGGGAAGATCTTTACACTTTCGTCCCCAAAAGGTTTGCTATCCGTATGTTCCACCTTGAAAATGACAATGTTTTGCAGACTTGATATATGCCAACTAAGCAAACAACTGTAAAAGTGGGTTTGATGCGTCAGTGTCCCAACTAAACAGCTTTTTGTCTGTTCAAAAAGATGGTTACTATGTAATTGAAACATCTTTTTCCTATTATAAATCCTGATGCATCTTGTATGCTTAGATTATTCTTGAGTAACAATATTGAATATTAGAAGAAACTGTTACAAGTACTTAGCTTTTCACTTTCCATTCACCAAAGCATTTCTAGGACAGTGTCTGTGCAGCCAAGAACCAAACTTACCTTTTCTAGGATTGATGGCAGTTGTCATCTTCTGTAACTGGAGATGAGATCTGTGGGTGTTGTGCTTTGGAGTGTAGAGCTCTCTTTGGCTTTGTGAAGACCAGTTGGTCTGGAAAAATCTTGGCAAACTACGTAGTGTTCCCTATGGGTCACACCTCCTTATCACAGGGATGTGGCACCAAGCCATGTTGTTCAACCTGTTTGGCTGTACTGAGCTGCTGTGGTAGTCCAAGTCCTGCTCAGAAATTTTCTTGGAATGATGTCTTTTCTTAAAGATTTGAGACTGTCCCATGGCTTGCAATAAAATCAATCTCTATCTTGTTAGCTGGGCACTATGGTATGTGGATATCAGATGAAGATTTTTTTTTTACCAAAAGTTTGGTTATTTTAATAGCCTGGTGTGTAAGGGCCATTCTTAAATTCAGAGGATTCTTGGTAGACTTGCCTGAAACAATTCACATCCAAGTTCTGGAATAAGCCATCTCTGAGGCAAGAATTAGCCAACAGTTTGGTGTTACTGGTAGTTGCAATACCTGAAACACTTGTTTTCAGGAGTGGCTTGTGCCTAATGTGATGTATTTTGACCTGCTTAAAACTTGTCTTAAGCCATGGTTTTTCCTGGATTTTCAGAATACAGCTACCTGTATATTGAGGAACAGATTTTGCACCTGGGAGGGAAAATTAGGCTAATGCTGTATGCTCTCAAATTAGGTAACTTGATTAGCAAAATCTGTTGTGCTTTGGCTGTGGTATTGGGAAAATGGTGAGTTAAGTGGTAGAAGTAATTGTGTGTTCCTATGCTCACAGTTGCTACTGATTGTGCTCACTGGAGTACTTATTAACCAGCAGCTCCTCCAAAGCAAAGAGCAAAACTTGTATTAGCTGTTGGAAATTCAGACATTAACATGCAACAACAGAAACTGTTAGGCTATGATGCTAGTTGTATAGTTTATCAGATAAAAGTGCATTTAAGTTTATGTTATATGAACTTACTTGGGAAGTGCTTACAATCCTTTAGGTTCTTAAGGGATGATGAACAGCTCCTTTACCACATTTTCCTGAGCTTTCTATGCAGGTAGCTGAAGTAAGATGTGAAACAGGGAGAAAAGTTCAGGCACCACCAAGCCTCAGTTGAACACTGTCACTTTCCTCTGACTTAAATGTTTACTGTTTGTTAGGAGAGTGACAGTGGTTTGTGCTGAGGTACCCAAAGAACTGAAGAATTTTTCTTCTTTAGGGCTGGCTAAGTTTCTTTGCATTATGCAGAAAGTTTACATGGCTCTTTAGGTGCTGTCTCTTTTGACTATTAGCGCTAGTGAAAAAGAGGTCTTGATTGCTTAGTCATTATTTAATGTAACATTTACAGGAAACTGGGAGAGATTTTTGCAAGCTCCTGCCTGCAAATGAATAAAGTGTAAAGGAACTGGGAGACTTTGTTACTTTGTCATCTTGGATTAGCAAGGGTAGGCCTGACCTGAAATCTCAAATCAGGGAATTTAGAAAAAAACAAGCACTTCTATCAAAATGACTTAAGGAAATCAGTTTAGTGTGCACCTGGATGTTTTCCAACAAAATGAGAGGGCTTCGCATCTTGGAGGGTGCTCTGCCATGCTGACTCTGGATACTACACTTCAGCTAATGAGAGAAATGCCATGAAAAATAATAGGCTACTTTTTGAAAATTTGAGGAGGGCATGGGCAGCTTTACAGCAGTGCAGTGAGGACCATACATATTTTTATCTACAATTTCAATTAATGAGTTTAATTAAATTATTAAAAAATCAAAGTGAGTGTAATTCACATGTCAACAATGAATATAATACAGTAACTTAAAAGCCAAACCAAAAGCAGTAAGCTTGGGGTAAAAATATGCTTGGTAAGAGGAATTTGAAAAATTATTCTTTGTGGGCTTTTGTCTTTTATAGGAAGTCATAGAGTTAACCAAAGATCTCCTTTCAACACAACCTTCGGAAACTCTTGCAAGTTCTGACAGTTCTGCATCCGCCCTGCCCAGTCACTCATGGAAGGTTGGGGATAGGTGTATGGCCATATGGAGTGAGGATGGACAGTAAGTGTAGAAAACTTCTCTAACAGTTACATGAAATAGTTCAATGGTAAGAGACTTTCATTCAGTTTGAATTCACCAGGGTGACTAAAGACAAAAAAAAAATTAAGAAATAAATGTGGTATTAAGTGTTCTTGAACTGTTTATTAAAGGTCTGTATTTTAAATAGCAAAGAAATGGAAGGTATTTTATAAGAACAGGCTTTTTGTCACTAACCATATAAAAGGAGGGTAGCTTTTGTAAATTACTATTTCCTAATGTAATAAATGGCAGACTGAAAGAACTGGTCAGTTAGGACAGTCTTTTGTAAAGCTTTTGGGATGTGTAGTTCATAATTTATCTTTGCATTCATATATATGTGTCATTGATTACTTTGAAGAAAATGTCTTGCTGTATCTCAGTTTGGGCCTCTAATTGGAAATTAATTTTAAATTTTTAATTGAAAATGCTGGATTTGGATATAACATAACTAATTATGCAATGTAACTATAAAATGAATCAACATTTTGGGTTTAGTCTCCTATGTGTTAGCCTGTGTAGTTCTGGGAACCCAAGCAGATAATTCTCACTCCATAAACTTTGAAATAAACGTGTAGAAGTTACTTTTCATACTGCAATCATGTAACTGTTGCAGCTTAAAAAAATAACTGTTTATGCAGGACCAATATCCCACTTGTTACCACTTCGAGAGAGGCTCTATTATTCCATGAATGTGCTTCTCTTAACAATGTAGTAACCATGTAAATATTTTTGTATAGCTGTTGATGTCTTAAGTAGAAAACTAATCTAAAAGTGAACAGTTCTTCTGTTTATTAATGAGTAAAACGTTTTTGTGTTAGAACTTAAAAACTGAATCTCCTAGTCTTAGGTCACCATTGGGTCATTCTTTTTGGTGTGATCCCATGGTTACAGGA